GCTCCAAATCTGTAGGCCAAGATAACATTAAAAAAAAATAAATCCATAAATTGGTAAATGGGGTTTGATGTTGGTTTTGATTTGCTAGCTTTAAAAGGTAGAAAAAGGAATGTGCATAGCCAGTCAATCCCATTTTCTTTGTTTCTTTTGGATTGAATTTGGGTAAATTTATAAATGCAATGTCATTTCAAAACAAATTTGAAAGATTCAATATAAAAATGCCAAAATAAAGTGTCTTGGATTTTAAAAAGTAATTCTTGGTATTTTCTAACACAGATTGCATTCACCAGCTTGAATTTACATTTTTACCTGAAAGTAAGGGTTTGGTAAAAATAATTAAGCCAATTCTGATCTTGAAGACTTTTGTCAGGAAAGCAGCAGCTAAGAATGCAAAGAGAGAGGATGTTGCTTGAGATTTCCTAGCTCTTAATTTGTTTCCCTAATTCAGCTTAACTCTTTTCACAATTTAGTATTACCACAATTAAAAATGAAGCATCCCAAACTTTTCAGTAGTTGATAGGAGGAAAACCAGAAAAATCTCACAATGCTTTAGTTTTGACTCTGTAGGCTGTGGCATGTTTACATTTCAACTTCAGCTCCATTTTTTTTTTTTTTTGTCCAGAGATGTGTTTTCAGTCAGCTGCCAGTGAAAACTACATTTAGTGCTTATCAAGGATCAGGACTTATTTTGTGTGTCAGTTATTAAGACCAGTTGAGAAGTTCATTTGAAACTGCAAATCTGCCCAAACATGTCTGATTTAAGTAATCCAAACAATAAGTTCAGGTTCACAATGCATTCCTGTTTCTGGGAGAGGGAATTTGATCAAAATAGGAGAAGAATGTGGTGTTTGTACTCCTGCTTTAGTTCCCCTTTCCAGACCAGGCTCATAGTTACAGTAATAGCAGACTTAGCTGATTGATGTGTTGACATGCCTTGATTTATTTGGTGCAGCAACCAAGTGGACTAGGTGCACTGCTCCACATGCCAATCCCTTACATTGTCTAAGCATCATTCTTGTATAGTGCTTTGTATATCTGACAAATTTACTCTAATCATTTAGTGATTCATATCTCAACTGGGCTAGGGAATTGTACCTAAATTCTCTTTAAATGGAGACTGTGGACTTGACACTGTGACTTGACATGCATCAGCATTGTGAGAACAAAGAGTACAAGATCTTGATAGGAGGAAGATGATGATTTTTTCTTATACATATGTATAAATATATATATTTATATATAAAGGAGGTTAAAGTCTGTGTTTTCCAAAGTCACTGTTTTAGTGGTTAATGACTTTAGAAAGTATATGGTATGTCAGACGTGGGAGAGACATTTATGTTTAGGTATTATACAGTGGAGAAGGGGTTGTGGGGATCAAATGAAGGAAAGAAGGAGAGAAGGTTTCATACTAAGAGAGTAGTGGTGCTTACTGAGAGATGACTGGAGCATCTGGAGATGAAAGGCAGAGCATAGCAAAACAGAGGGTTAGGAATTGAGATGAATTGCTTTCTACGCTGTACTGACCCAGATTGGGACTGTCTAGATTAGCTTTTGCAAAGCTGAACTAGATCTGTCATGCAGGCTGTTATTTTCACAATGTTTCTACTTTCTCTATTCTTAGTAAATGCAGTTTTCCACAGCACTTGAGGCTTCATTGCGTGGTTTGGGTATCAGTTACTTCGGAAGCTTCTTCCCTGGCATAAGCAAGTAAAGGAGAACTGAGGCTTGGGGAGGTCCAGGGTCTTGGCTGCAGAAGATGAGGGGCTGTGCATAGCTCTCTGCCTCTATAAGGGTGTGCAGAGTGTATCCAAAAACCACCAAGGGAGTTGCATTTCTAGGCTGCCTCCTCTTGGTTACCCATCCAGAAGAGTTATTCTTCAATGTAGGGGAAAGAAATAATTGTTTTCACTAGATTTTGATACAAGTTATTTAAATACAGGATATGTGGAATTGTGAAAGATTGTTACAGGACAAGAAATACCAGGTAATAAAAAATTTTTAAAAAATCCTTTTGTATGGATTTCAAGTGGATTTGGAGAGCAGAAAACTTACTGCCTTGGCTTCAGCCTAAAACCTAGGGAAAAGACCTCATATTTTTCTAAGCACTTTTTCTTGGGTGGTTCTTGGCTATTTTGTACTATTCTGTGAGTTCCCTTTTGCTAAAAGATCTCTCTGATTTATCTTCAAAGGGTATTTCTGTTGGTTCATTATTTTAACCCAAGTTGTGTCTTTCATACATGACTGGGTTTTCATATATTTTATTTCTTCTCTAAAACCATTTGCTCAAAACTACATTTTTCCTCTGCAGCTGGTTTGTTTGTTTGTTTGTTTTTGTTAAATATTCTCTCCCAAGAGAGTGTTGGCTATTTATCAGTATTCAATCTCTCTGTAAAGCATACTTCTGTGGGGTGGACATTTATTATGAAATGGTGTCTCTAAAGGGGATCTTATCTGTTCTTGATCTGTTTCTCTATTTGCCTCTTTCTTAGCTAGTGGCTTTAAGAAGTACTCAATCTCTCTATGTTAACAAAATTAAATGCAGTCATTAAAATGGCAAATAGCAAAAGGAGATGCATTAGAATCCAGTACAATTTCCAGCAGATGCTTAGCAAAGAGCTTGAATCTGTGTTAGGTGTTTATAGCAATAAGAGAAAAAATCCCCTGCATTTCCTTCAAATATACTGGAAAAACTGTTTTTAATGGAGTTTTCAAGAAAATTAAAATAGTAAAATAAATAGCAGAGAATGCTATGTATGTTGACTACTTGTTAAGCTTCTGTTTGGTCATATCAGCCAGGCTAAAAATTATTGAATCCAATGCATTCTTAATCCAACTTCTTTGATTTCAGTGACACCGAACTAGTGATGAACCTGGATCTTGAACATTGCAACAGTTCCTTAATTATACTCTTTCTTCAGCCTATGTGAGCAAAATTACTGATGCTGTTAGAGACAAAATAGTTTTCATTAGGAGATCATAAAAGTGACAAAAATAAGTGGGAAAAAAATATTTGTGAGGGTTTCTCCTTCTGTTTGAATGGAGCTGTTAGGTAGAAAGGAAATTATCTTTAATGCAGGCTGCACATCTAACTAATGACAAGAGTGTTTCTCCCAGGAGTAAACTGAGCCCTCTGAACTGGTTTATGGATACCTCAATAGAAATAGTTGCATTACTCTGTCTTCTGCCTGCAGGCAGTCACTGAGAGCTTTCTCTGAGGTACTCTTCTTCCCATAGATAATTTTGCAATATATATGTAGAGGAAAATCTATGCCATTTTAAAAATAATTTCTTCAATGCATTTTACATATTGTTCTTTCAATAGTACTAAGTATTTCTGGCTGCCTCTTAAGTTATCCATTATTCATTCTTCATTAGCTGAAATTCCAGTCTACCCAGAAAGTACAGCATGCAAAGGTCTTGAAGTTCAGTACGTGCTAGTATTTTTCTCAATATCCAACTATAGATCAGTGTTGGTTTGAAAGTCAGGTGTTCAGCAACTGAGTCATGATTTTTTTTTCTAAGTAGAGATCAAGAGAGTGCACAATAGCATGAGATTTATGAAACGCAAAAATTTCAGGATATTTTTATTTGCTTTTTGGCTTGTAAGCCTTTTGAATTCACCGAGAGTATGTATTGTTTTGCTTCGCTTCACTGAAACTGTTAAATCTAAAAACATAATTTTTTTTTCTTTTATTTTATTAACTTCATTCAGGGATCTAGAGGTTTAAGAAACTTCCTCATATAGGTCACTCATGAAAAACCACTAAGTTTTTTCATGACTGAGTTCTGATCTTATGCTGTAATGAGACAGATTTTTGCTGCTTAAGTAACATAAAAAGACCCCAAATCTTCCCTACTTGGAACAGCACTCCTCAGAGCGCAATCCTACTTTGTTGTTGAGACTAACATGGTGTTAGTAGGGTTTTCCAAGAGGTCTCAAAGAGGCGTATGTTAGTCTTCTGCCATCCATGCCTGAGAATGGAGGGAACACAGATTGCTTTGCACGCTCCAGTTCTGCCTGCTTGCTCTGAGACTCCATGGTTCTAGTGTGATTTCCTAGCAAAATTGTTGACATTTACTCCATTTCAGTATGTAATTATTAATTAGCATACTTTTGATGATATTTTGGGGGTTTAGATATAAATTTGAAAGTTGAGACTGTGTTGAAAACATCCTGATAGATCATCACATTTGCATGAAGAAAATGGTTTAACTTCTGTGTCAGCTGGGCTGGGTTTTTGTGCCGTCCAAATGTTCACACAGCAATGAGAAGATGTAATTTGCGAATTGGAAGATGCTTTTTGCTGCTTTCTTTTTACCAAAAGGTATTTGTTGCTATTAATGGTTGTGAAGTGAATCCTTGTCTGTATCCTACGGCTTCTGTCTAAATGTGTGCTATTAATAACTAGAAATAAATGTCAGCCAATAAGGACTTCGAGGTTTCGAGAAAACAATCAAGAATGGCAAAAAATGATGGCATACAAAGACTCACAGATCTACAGCACTGCCATTTGTCTTCCTCCCCTCATCACTTAAGCTGTTCATTATTGCCTCATTTGTATTATCTGCAGACCAGCTGAAAAATGCCTCAAAACAAAGAAAGCAAAACCATTTCACAGCAGTAAGAGTTACATTCACGGGCAGGTAAAGCAATAGGAGAAAAGCTTGCAAGTCTTCACCAGTAGCTTCGCTGCTTTTGCACCCTGTTCTCTCTTACCCTTTCCTCTGCGTTTGTTTTGTTAAGAGTTATATGTGTACACATGCTACCCAGCAATCTGATTTTCAAGTGCCAGTACTATTAAATGATCACCAGTTATATAAGCTACAGGCTGTAAATGTGAAACCATAGTGATTTGTGATGTTCTTTTGGAAACATCTGAGGGTTTGTAAAAGTGCTTGTATTAAGGATGTTTTTGAGAATGTGTGTGTAATGCAAAAAATATGTTGGTCATTAAAATGTCCTATGTAATTCTGATGTGCCAAAAAAATATCTATTGTAGGTTTGCCAGAACCAAACAGAGACAGTATATTCCAAGGATTGAGAATGGATCAAGGATTCTACACATCTAAAGACTTCTTACCTTTGGTAGCAATGGCAAGTAAACCAGGTGTGTGATATGTTCTTGCTGTAATCACATTCAGTAAGTCATTAGTAGTTATTGATATATAAAACTGTTTGGTTACATAACAGCTCATCCATTTATGAAGCACCTTCGAATTAATAGATCTGGGACAGGGTTTTCTCTTGGGGAGTGACAGCCTCAGGAGTATGATCAGGAAATTCAGTCCTAGAGATTATAAACCAGATAGTCATATATAAAAATCTAAACACATGGAAAATCATCACCCCTAATAAGTTATATTTGTTATTTTGAATTATAATCAAAAGGTGACTTAAGCTTCTCATTTGTATAAATTATCTTGATATAAATAGCATATATAAGATAGTCTTGAAAAAATCTGATATTAAAGAAGGTATTTCCAACATATATAAACAGCTGCTTTGTATATTGTTGATAAATTGTTTTACTTGATTCCAAGTCATGTGCTGCATGTTTTAGAGACACATTTAAATCAGCACTAGTTCCTTACCCAAAGAACTTGCAGTCTAAGACTCAGGACAACAGGAGTGTGGCAGGAGTTAATAAAAGAACGCTCAGTTTGTACGCACTGAATGCAGTCTTGTTTTATGCTTTTACATCTTTCTTGGAGTACAGAGATGGCTGCATTTGCTCCCCAAGGGGTACAGCTGCTTTCAGTGTCCTGAATGTGAAGTCATAAGCTCTAGATGTGTGATTTCCATGCCACATTCCTTCATGGTGTAGATTTCCCAGTGTGTTGATAAAAAGAAAATTAATGTACAGTTTTTCTGGACATATACTTAGAACAGAATGTGATATTTTACATATCATAGAATCATAGAATATGCTGTGTTGGAAGAGACCCATCAGGACCATTGAGTCCAACTCCCGGCCCTGCACAGGACATTCCAAGAATCATACCATGAGCTTGAGGCCATTGTCCAAACACTTCTTGAACTCAGACAGGCTTGATGCTGTGACCACTACCCTGGGGAGACTTCCCTGTCACTTCTATTGCCCAATCACCCTTTAGGTGAAAAACTTTCTCCTGATATCCAACCTAAACCTCCCCTGACTCAGCTTCATGCCATTTCCTCAAGCCTCTCACTGGTCATGAGAGTGAAGAGTCAGTGTCTGCCCCTCCTCTTACCCTCACAAGGAAGTTGTAGACTTCAGTGAGGTCTCCCCTCAGTCTTCTCTACTCCAGGCTGAACAGACTAAATAACCTCAGCCACTCCTCCTAAGGCTTCCCCTCCAGACCTTCACCATCCTCATGGCCCGCCTTTGGATGCTCTTTAATAGCTTAATATGTTCTTATGTTACAGTGCCCCAAACTGCAAACAATATTCAAGGTGAGGCCGCCCCAGTGCAGAGCAGAGCAGGACAGTCCCCTCCCTCAACCAGCTGGCCATGCTTTGCCTGATGCCCCCCAGGACAGGGCTGGCCCTCCTGGCTGCCAGGGCACTGCTGACTCATATTCAACTTGCCATGAACCAGGACCCCCAGGTCCCTTTCCACAGTGCTGCTCTCCAGCCTCTGGTTCCCTAGTCTATAGACACAACCAGGGTTGCCCAGTCCCAGGTGCAGAATCCAGCACTCGCTGCTTGTTAAACTTCATACGACCACGTATTTAATATAACTTTTTTAATCTACAAACTGATTTTCATTTGAGCATTTAGAAATTTCTTTTAGCATCATATAGTGTTGCCTGCTTATTTAGTAGACTTTCCTTAAACACTGTTGAAGAATATATCTTCTGTGGCAAATTATTCTGCCTATAAAAGTAAAGTTTATTACCCCATTTTATGCAAAATATTTAGGAAGTGAAATTCTCCAGCCCATCTGTCCCATTTCTCTGCTGTTTTGATCAAATGCTTATTTCTGTCTGTTTTCTTAAGCTCAAAGTGAGCTTAAATGGTTTGGGAGAAAGGGGTGGAGTTTTTGTTTGGTTTTTTTTTAAGAAAGAGATGTTTAAAAATAAAACAGATTGAGAATATGTACTGCAAAACATTTGTAGATTAACAAAGTAAAAAATAAATCCCACAAAACAATGACTAAAAGTACTTTCTAGAATTCCGTGAGGACATGTAGTGCTTGTGTACTGTCACCTGACTGCATGAGGATCTATATACTGCGATCTGCATCTTTTAAAATGTTGCAAAGTAACACTCTTGATTTGGTAGGATATGTAATGATTTTTTTTTTTGTATTAAGTCTACAATGAGAAAAAGGATGAACTTGGAAGAACTAACCTTTTCTGACTGACAGTAATAGATATCTCTTTGGTGTATCTGTTAATTAACATGGTCTCTTTTGCTTAATTTTCCTAGTGTCTGTCTGTATCTATAGCTACCTCTTGCTCTCTAAGACATGGAATTTTAAAATAAAATATAAATATCTTACATCCTACTTTATCCTCTTTTTTTCACTATGACAGTTTTTTAAATAATAGACATAATAGTCACAGTAAAGTACATATTCTTCCTGCTTATTAAGTTCTGAATACCACCTGTTAATATACTTTTCTCCAAAAGGGGTTCCCCTTGCAAATACATAGATGTGAATTTACTGTGGGAGCAGCATGTTACTAAGAGCAAAATGGGCTGCTGTGACTGATCTGTTCTGGACTTGTGCTGTAATGGCACTCTGAGCTGCCATTCCCCTGCTGCACTTCTGCTTTCTCTACTGCTCAATGCCTAGTTTTTGTGAAGGATGAAGTTCATTAAAAATAAATGAGAAAAGTTTAGTGAAAATTTTAGACTTAAGAATCCTGTTACATAAATAGTAAATGCAATGCCATATACATGGTGGGGGGAAATGATAACATTTGTCACACATTAAGCATTTTACAAATGGAGAGAGAGTATCTATATTAGGATATTGTTTCTCGCTCCATTTAAGCATTATTTACATGTATAATACTTGTGTTCCACAATTACGTATAAAAATCTGCTGCTGCTATAGGAGGATATTTGAGTTACAGTGCAATGGTTAAATTGCCAGCTTAGTGCCTCCTGACTAGAACTGTCACAGGCTCTTTGAGAATATAGCTTTCAGTTATTTATGTCCTTATTTTTCAAATTGCAATCATTTGCCTAATCAACAGTTAGTTGTATTTAAACGTGATAAAGTGCAGTGTTATCCAAGGAACAGACACAGTTCAGTTTTATTTAAGTATTTCTTGTTGAATTGAATCGAATGCAAGCTGCAGATGACAAATACAAAATGTCATTCTCTCCGTGTAACGTTTTACAAGTCCTTTGTAGAAAGCCACTGTAGATTAACCATTTTCTGTCAATGGAAGATCCAGGAATTACTGTAATAACAATAGTCTTTCTCCTCATGTTCAGCTACTGCAGCAAATAGCCTCTGAGAACCATGTCATAGCCAGAACAGTCAGTGCTTTATAGAAGACTGAGAGGACTAATGTTGATACACTATTACACAAAACAATTGGTCATCTTTTTTTTTCTTTTTTTTTTTTTAATCTGGGAGGATAATCAATCTGATGAGAGAAACTTACTTTTTGAATAAAAAGATCTCACAATGCTAGTTTCAACCTGACAGGACACACAATCCTACAAACGTGTTGTCATTTGAATTCTTTCTTGATAGAAAGGTGCAGCTGCTTAAAGTACTGACTATGAAATTATGTATATGAGCATATCTTAAAAGGGGGAATAAAACTGTCTTTCGGTGGAGCAGAATAATTTGATAGTGACACTCCATGCTTGGAAACTGTAAGATGCAATTTTACACTGCTTTGAGTACAAGTACCTTTTGAGCTGTCATGCAGAAATGGTTTCTCTACTTGAAAATGGGGTTTTCCTTTTATCTTTCAGGGATGTGTGCCTGTCACTCTCCATTGCCGTCAATACATGGAACTGTGATTGTACTTGGGGCAGGAGACACTGCTTTTGACTGTGCAACATCTGCTTTACGCTGCGGAGCTCGTCGCGTGTTCGTGGTCTTCAGGAAGGGATTCACTAATATCAGGGCTGTCCCAGAAGAGGTGAAATTGAGTAACAGCATTTATAAGAAGGCATATTGGTTGTTATTACTGTGGGGCCTGAAAGTGTGCTGTGGGTGCTTAAAAGGCATCTATTAAAGGTTTTGTTTATGAAAGTACTCTTAAAATGTATGAATCTTTATTAAAAATCTGATGCTCACTTTTTATACTCTCAATGTAAATAATTTTCCGTGGTTGTATCTTTTTCCTGTAAAGTCAGAGATGTATTTGCAAACAGGGGCTACAATTTCTTATAAATTAGAAAATGCAGTAAAATTTTGAATCTTGGAATCCAACAGCCATTTGAGTATTGTGTGTGACTCTACAGGTCATGGTTAGATCCTGGAATGATACCTTTTGGCTGCTGTTTCTGATGTGGCCTTGTGAGCCTATAAAATCTTATAAAAAATTACTTACAGTGATTTTGGCTTTGAATCACTGCCAACAGCAATGCAGCAATGTCATTCATCACAAATTTCAGCATTCAATTTGATTTTTAGTTTGGCTTTGCACTTTGGCATTTATCAGGTCATCAGCACATTTTGAAACTGACTCTGCTTTCTCAGTGTATCTGTACTCTGAGAGTTTTTATCAGATTAGATTTTTTTATCTTGGTGGTCTTTTTCCATTTTCATTTATTTGGTACATTACATTTTTACGTAGTTGAGGATATTAGGATATCTAATGTATCTTTATCATGGTATTTGTGGTAGTTTGGTCACCTATGTCAAGAAGGTGGGCACCTTAGATCTTACAGAAGGAGAATGGAGCTTCAAAGAAAGTAAGAGAGGGTCTCTTGGTGCATAAGTTACTTCTGTTGCACTTCAGTTAAGAGTTCTAGACACAATGAGATTACTGAAGTCATTGCAGAGACTCGTGTGCTATTCAGATTCTTACTAAATCAGTTGTCACTCTGAACCAAAATCTTTGATAGCAGCCTGGATAAATTCCTAAAAGTTGTCAATGTTTGTACTCATCCAGTCATGCAAGGCCTTGAAAACAGTAAAATAAAAGTAGCTTCATGTAATGGCCATGCTAGAATCATGTCAGGTTGGATATTACATGTTAAAAAAAGTTGTTGTGTAAACATAGACAATCAAATTTTGAAGACTTTGCTTAAATAAAATGCTGATTGACTTAAGCAGTTTTACCATGGCAGAGATTCAGAAGATCTTGTCTGGATTGTCACTCAGAAAACTGTTGTTTGCACATGGTATTCAGTATTTAATAAAATCTTAAAATCACAGTAAACACAAATCATGGCATGTCCAAAGTAATACTAGGACCCTTCTTAAAAGACACAGATAGTTGCATGAGTAACTCCTTTACCCTCAAAGGAGTTAAATATCTTCAAAGTAACAGAAAAGTAAGAAAATATATTGGAGAAATATTTCCCTTGAAAATCTACCTAGTGCTAATGCTTGATTTAATAGCATCGGAGGCTCTGAAGCTGATAATAAGATGACTGTGCCTACTGGAGGCAGCTGACTTCTACTACAGAAGAATACATGGTAACATCTTGAGTCAAAAAATGTCTGGGTCGTTTATTTTGGTTTTTTATAAAAGCAAAGCATAGTAAGTATATGTTTTATTGCTTCTGCTCTACAGATGGAACTTGCAAAAGAAGAGAAGTGTGAATTTCTGCCTTTCCTCTCCCCTCGGAAAGTTGTTCTTAAAGGTGGACAAATTATTGCTATGGAATTTGTTCGAACTGAACAAGACAGTGATGGTAACTGGAAAGAAGATGAGGATCAGGTTGTCCGTCTGAAAGCTGATGTGGTGATCAGTGCCTTTGGCTCCATTTTAAGTGACAATAAAGGTAACCCTGACTAATGCATTCTGCTAATGCTGATTGTTATTTTAGCTGCAACCATTTCCTGTGCTTTGACAGTTCTGTGAAATGGGTCTTCTAGAGGTTACACAGCTTGTGACTGCTGGTCCTCTTCGCAGGAATTTCTTTGTCCTTTAGGTATACCTCTTAGAAAAAAATTTGACAGTCTGGTAACAAAGCAGTTTTCTGTATGTTGCTGTATAGAGCTGGAACTTAGAGTAGAGGTACAGTTGCTCAGTATGTGTATTTCTTTTTTCTCAGTGCCAGTGAGATCTCAAAGAATACTATTGGGAATTTCTTCTGGTCTCACTAATTAACTTTAGAGAAACTCATTATATTACAACTTTAAGCTGAACTGATCTGATCTCTTAAACTTTTTTTTTTAACCTATCAAATTAAGCTGGAATTAAGACATTAATTATTCTGGTTCAGGTGATCTGGGTATTACTCATTACTTGTGCATATACTATGTGTGACTTCTCTCATATACAATATTTCTTAGTTGCACTTTACAAGCTTTAGTCTTAAAAATTAAAAATTACATAATTCTATATTAAAGATACAGAAATTGTCACATTGATGACATTTCAGAGATTGAATGAATTGTCTGCATATAGCAGAGAGATGAAGAATATAAGTAGAGCTAAGAACATGGGAACTGAGCAGAGCTCAGACCATTCTCTTCTGACACAAGGTTAGACTTAAAGAGTTCAGACACATACAAGAAACATGCCTCAAAAGTTAAAAATTTTGATGCAGCAGAAGACACATCGATGAAATGAATAGATCTTCAGCCTGGAGGTGCTCATCAAGGTTAGCAGGTTCTGAAGGCCTTAGTGATCCATGTGCCTACCTCTCCAGTGCATGGTCATGCCAGCCAATTAGCCCGTAACATGTTGTCAGGGTCCTTTGGGTATAAATGCTCTGACAGAGGACTTGCAAGTGCCTCAGATTGTACAGGACCATAAAACTTCTTAGCATAATGTGGTTTTGTGAATCTTTTTAATCGAGGAAAATGGTAAATCTAAAATATTCTAAGCAGGGTCTGAATCTGAATGGTGTACTCAGTGCTTCCTGTTCTCCAGCCCGATTGCATACAATGGTAAACCATCGTGCAGCCATGAGAAGAGTCTAAACTCTCTCCTTCAGCAAAAAGGATAAACCTGGTCCTTCTAAAAATTTGTGAGTTCCAAGAGCAGTCCTATCTTTTGTGTGTTACTATTGCTTTGGGATAGTTTCTTGCAGCCTAGGCTGTTACCTAGACAGGAATTGCACCCAGCTACCTATGGTGCTACTTACTCAGGGCTACCTCCTGCCCTGCAGCTGCCTCCTGCTCTGAAGGGCACACGAGATGCAGTCTGTGTCTCTTGGAAAGAACACACTCTCATTCCACTTGAAGCCATATTGCTGTATAGCAATTCTGGCGTCTGTGTGGGTCATGTTTTAGGGCTCAGTTGAACCTCCAGGAAGCAAGGAGAAGATTAAGACTTTTTTCTTTTTTTTTATTTTTTTAAATCTTAAAGAGATTCATTAGCTGCTCTGACAGTGGAGTTGATTGACTGAGAATTTTGGAAAATTTTGTTGATGTTGTTTTTAAAAACCCTGTGTTTAGGTTTTTTGTAAGGTTTTCTAGAACTTGATGTGGTAAATTAGTATTAGCCTATGCAGTCAGTATATTTTGTTGTGATTCATAGACCCTATGCAGGAGTGATTCTGTTTTCTCCCACATTAAAAATTACTTCAGTTAAAAGGTTGAACTGACTGTGTTGCTTAGCCATAATACTGTGCTAGTCTTGTATTTCCTAGTATGCATTCACTGTCAAAATTAGTTGTGAGGTTTTTAAATAGGAAATGGAACGGAAACAAAGTCATGCAGTGAGTTGATCATGAAAGAAGAGTCATTTACCTTGGGGGTAGCAAAACTTCAGTTTCACACTGTATTTTGGATGAAACTGCTGTTAGAATAGCCATCAAATTAAAAGGCAAAATGCAGGGCATTTAGTTTTGGATGTTGTGAAAGTGAAAAGAAACTAAGACTTGAGTGCATAAAATGTTTATTTTGAGCATACTATTTCAGGTGCTTAAATCTTTGGTTTTTGTTTAAACCTGTCTTAATGAAAGTCAAATTTGCTTTTCTTATCTTCTTAGTGTTTTGTTGTGAGTGGGGGTTTTTTTGGAGGTTTTTTTTTTGAGGAGTTTTTTTTTAAGGAAGCACATTTTTGTAGTCAAGAGATTGGAATATTCAGGCATTCTACATCAAAAGATGGAGATGAAAATACTAGAGGTATTCAAAACTGGACAATGCCATGAGCAAACTGATCTAACTAGGAACTTGATCTAACTTTTGAAGAAGGGAATGGACTAGGCAACCTTCAGAGGGCCCTTCCCATCTCAATTGTTTTGTGACTGGGTGACTCAGATGCAGATGAATAAACGTGTTAATTACTGTTCATACAAAGAGCTCTATCAATTGACCTGATTCATAAGGTACATCAGGGAACTGCAAATGCAGTATTGGTATGGGCTAAGGTAGCAGGTTATGTCCTATTAATATTGTCAAATGCTGATTCTACTGATACAAAAATAGAGTGATTAAAATCAAACTTAATCCCAGTTGATCAAAGTGTTTGGGGCAGCCTTCATGCTCATGTTTGAAAGTTTTGTAAGGAGCCATAAGCATGTGGGAGACTGATGTTCTGACCAAAAATAGCTTATAGGTTAGAAAGTTTTTTCTAGTCTATTATCCTCAACAAGATGTTTCTTATTCTTGCATGATAACTCTTAAATTTGCAACTGAGATACCATGCATTCACAGTAGGTATTTAGTCTTTTTTCATTTGGTAAGATAAAATGCTGATTGTGGTTTTAAGCAACAGTTCTAGTGGTATTCAGCCTCTTATTGGGAATCATATAAATGCATCATTATTTTAAAAAAATGGACTCCTAAATCCATTTTATGCTTGTGAAGTTGCTAATAGACAAAACAGGAGAGTTGCCTTCTAAACTGTTTTAAGAAAATTACCACTTTACTGAATAAAAAAAATCCCAACAAATTGTTCAAATTAAACTACTGCAGATGGAGTAAGAAAAATGTTTTGCTTCTTCTTAAAAAAAACCTACCAGATTTTGCAAGCACAAGATGCTTTTTTTTCACTGCATTGCTTACCAAAACCTTTGAGCCATTGTAACTGACCCACATAGACAAAGAGCTGTGAGAGAAATTTTGTGCTTTTCCTCGTGTTCCTGCTTTTTTGCTTAGTTTGTTATTTTGGAGACTTGTGACATATTAGTGAATTACTGAAATACCTTCTGTCCCTGTTCCGAATTGTAACTACTCAACATACACAAATATAATTCTGTGTGCTCCATAGCACTGTGTGCAGCCTCAACATCCTACTTACCACCAATCCAGTTGGTTTTAAAGTCTGAACTTTGAATAACCCTTTTCTTGTATAATTTGTTCTCATAAGCAAAGGAAACAATGTTTTTGGAATGCAAAATTTTGCATTAGAACAAATGTCCTTGTTCTGATTTATTTTCATGATTTTCTGAGGAGAACCATGGAGAAATTATGGAAAATAGTACACTTGTTCAAAATGCACTGCAAATGCAGTGCAGAAAAGGGACTGAGATAGGATAGGGAACTGGCAATGTAAGCTTAGTTCAACACTGTTTAGCAGGCAGCAGTAAAGAGGAAGTATTCCATGTACCAGAACACTGAATCTTAGCATGCTAATGTCTATTTTATTTTCCTGGAGAGGCAAAAAAGAGAAATGCAAAAATATCCAAGCAAACTCCAAATACCACCTTTCTAAAAAAACCCAGAAATTGTAAGTTATTTGTGAGCCAAAATATGTTTTATGAAAAATTTGGTAGTAGCTGACTATTGCATCGTGACTGAAGGACAAAATTTTATTTTGCAATTCTGGGAATCAGTCACAACTTTCAGATATTTTGCTTTTACTTTTAGTACAACTGTCATCTTGCTTGGAAACTGCGGCAGCAAATCCCAGAAGGCTCCCCTAGAATAGTTCAACATACAGCAAGGATAACTTTCCCCAAGTTGTTTACAATTTTATTATTTAACCCACTTATACCTAATATTTTTTTCTACAGTTTGAGAAGCATTTGCTAGAGAAAAAGGGAAAATGTTTGCAGAACTCTGACCTCGTAAGTGAAAAAGATTTTAGTTTTCCTTTGAAAATGGCACAGAAGCCAGGGGTTCCAGAACCTGGAAGGAGTGTTGAATTTCTTCATACAGTCTGCTCACACAACTAGCTAACTTCAACCTCAAAGTACTGAAGCTTTGACTATCTAATGGAAGAGTAGGGGGGAGGAAGAGAGGCTGTGATACCCAAGCTGGGAATGCCCATGGGGGTGACCTGGCATCTTCCTGGTAGCACAGCATCTGCCTTCCACCAACAGAATAGGTTTTTATTCACTCAACTTGTAAAAAATTGTTATATAAAACTGCAACATATAGATTCAAAAGATTCCTATTGAAATAGATAGGAGTCTTCCTGCTGAGTCATTTGGAACAGGATTTTTCTCCACAAGTAGGTTTACTGAATGAGTTTGAGTGCAGCAGTTCCACGCTCTGAAATGATTACCAATTTCCAATATCCAAAAGTGGCTTCATGATGACTTCTAAAGCCCTGCTAACTTAGAGCACAAATCCTGCTCTTTCAGCTGATAGACATCAGTACCCATTTGCTCGCTGGTGACAGGCAGAAAACAGTCAGTACCAGCTTGCAGCAAGATCCTCTCCAGCATAAGTGGACCCAGCTTTGTTCAGTCAAACCACTTTTTAATCCTGAATCAGTACAATAGTGGGATAGAGAATGTGGGAAGCATGATTGTGACTTTCTTTGTTTGCTGGGCATTTAGGCTGGGCAGTGTCAGCAGTTAGTCTGTTGGTGCATGTGACAGCTATAGTTATACATTTTAGATTAAGGAAGTTACAGTATATTTGTATTTTTCTGAAGTGATGCTACTATTCACTTTAAAGGAATTCTGTAAGATGGATATCAAAAATAACATTAATGAGCTACTAAAGCTAAAATTACAGGAACTTATGAAATTGGTTAAACATAAAAACCATTAAACTGTTTATTGAAGCTTCACAGATATACTGCAGCTAATGAGCATTTCTGCTATTTAAATAAGCCCAAATTGAACACACATTACATGGATGCATAATTAGTCATGGCAGTCAAACACACAGACTCACTTTTAAAGCTTTATTTGAGGAATCTTTTCCATTTGATTTGTTTTGTTAATTAAAATATTTTTTCTGTATTCACTTATATTTTAATATTGTTTTTGCAAATGCTGTAATTTGCTGCTGCATTTCCATTTGTGTTTGTTTGCTCTGTGAATAAAACAAATTTGGAATATATATTCAGCACTATCCTTTTGTTTGGTGTTATTTGTGTTAGCATCACTTGATAGCACTAGAGTAATTAAATTGTATGTTGTCTTTCATCCAGAAGGATCTTTTCAAATGATATATAATGTCTCACCAGGCCATAGAGGAGAGGAATACACAAACAGGAGACTGTAGTTTGAATTTTCAAGAGAAAAGCTTCAAATTTTGAAGGCTGTGAGGGTGTAGGGTTTTAAAAGACGCTCTTTACCCCATCCCAAATCATGGAAAAATGAAAACATTAGGTATCTAGGTTTTTATTGTTCAGTGTCAATTACCAGTGCAGAGAACCTCAAGCTCAGGTTTGGCTCTTGGCACTTAGACTCTCTCTCACCCCCCGCAGGGGCAAGGAAGGGACTTCCCTCTGTGAAGAACACAATTCTCCCCTTCTTTCTGCAGGTGGTGTAGGAGGTGGTCCCTTCAGCCTCACAGTTGCACTGGGTACCAGATCCAAATTGTTAGGATATTAGGAAATCTCATACAAAATGCTTTTAAACCATCCCCTTCTTTTTACATAACCTAAATCTTGGAGATTATAAAAATGACAGAAAGAAATAGCTGCTGGATACCATGTCAGCCTTGCCACCAGGGAAATATTCTTTCCCAGTCTTAAAAATACTGATCAGGCAGACAAATCCTCAGGCCCTGGAGAAATGTTTCAGGTGAAGATGTGTTAGGCATTCTTTGCACTCAAAAAGCTTTTGGTATAATTATGTCCAGACAGCTATTTTAGCAAAAAGCAATTCAAAGAAAGATTTGAGAAATGTAATAGATCCAGGATAACAGAGGTAATACCCTGTTTTTCCACAAGATGAAATAGGTAGTCAGAACTTCCAGTTTTACATCATTTCTTCTGAAAAACTACCTCTTCAACAGCATGTTGTCCTCTAACACCTTTACTGTGGTTCAGTCCTGTCTCAGAGAAGAAGTCATCTATTAAATCCCCCCTACCAAATCCTGCAGTACTGGGTTTTCCTCTGTGTTTTTTTCCAAACATGTCCTTACAAGCCTGTATGTATTTAGCTCATGAGAACTGTCTAGACCACATGCTGAGATGGTACCACTGCATGCAATATGTTATTCTATATATGACAAATATAAGACGATCAAAAGCTGTCTTAAAGCACTGACAGTCTGAGACACAAAGAGAAAGTTAATGTATTGATTTATAAATATTACTGAAGCATTTAAATAAAACGGCTATCAACCATTATCCACTCTTTCAATTTAAAAGAAAAAAAATGCAAGCCCCTAAACAAACCAAAAACCTTGTTTTCCAGACTGAAAAATGCCTCAATCTCAAGGCAGTGTTTCATTTGAATTTTCAGTAATTTAAACATTTTTACAGGAAACAATTTCTTAAGTTTTTGGCGGGAGAAATTGTGCGAGCAATAGGTCTTGCAGATTGGTTAAATACCTGTGCTAGGAAACCTGCTTCAGTCTTTCAGCTTGAAACTGTCTTCTGTGACTCTGACTTCTGAACAGGTTGGAAAATATTACTTTGAATTCAAGTCCTCCAGGTATATGTCTGTAAATGTCAAGGGTGAGGAGGAGAACGTAGGAGGGACAAATAGGTGACAGTGTTTGTGCCTTGCTTCCTGTTTAATTATTTTGCCCCAGATTATACACAGCTCCCACCTTGGAATACACTTCTAATATTTGATTTGAAGGTTCAGGGAGATACAGAGCCTAGGAAGAAAATCTCAGCACTATGATGGGCAAGAAAGATGTGTTTGTACTGGGGTGTGCGCTGGGACAATACTGTGACTCTGCCCATTGTACTGGAGAAATATTTGTGCCTTAAACTGGCAGGTTGCTCTTTTACATATATGACATTGCAACTGCATCAGTTTAATTGACCTTAGCAATATGCATCTGCCAGTGGTATGTCCCTGAGGGACATTGCAATTTTAAGCTGCATTTTATTGCAGAATCTTCAGTGCTTTTAGGTAAACCTATATAACTCCCCCTATTTTGATAAATGCCATCAACATTTGCTAAAAATACTTATTGAAAACATGATTCTCTTAATTAAGCTACTTTGAAGGGCTTTGTGATTATAATAATTTTAAAATGTTAACATAGAGCAAGTAGTATATTTTTTCTGAGCATTTATGTGTATTTATTGACATTTATGTGCCATGCAGTATAAATTTTTTTTTTTTATTTTCACATCTACATTATTTTAAAAGACGATAATATTTCATGTGCAGAATGCCTGACATGCTGTTCACTAACAGGATGAAAAATATTAAGATCTCTTAATGCATGCTCTAAAAAAAGAATCAGAAATTGCAGTGAAAAATATACAAAATATATTGTCTTCATGTAAACATTTAATTTTGATTGTGTTTTATGGTTTTATGCAAAACAAGAAGTGAGCCTTTCTTCCGGGATGTTCTGAGTTTAAATGTTAAGTCAGGGTGGTTTTGACTTTATTGAAATATATGTTTTTTCAGTATTACATTTTCTAATTGTTATCAGCGTATATTTGACAGATTTTAGCAACAGTTTTTTCTTTCTTCCATTAACATATTTGTCGTTCACTTTAATTACAGTTAGAGAGGCCATGGCACCTATCAAGTTTAACAGATGGGGTCTTCCTGAAGTAGATCCAGAAACCATGCAAACAAGTGAACCCTGGGTTTTTGCAGGAGGTGACATTGGTGGTCTTGCTAACACTACAGTGGAATCAGTAAATGATGGAAAACAAGCTTCCTGGTACATACACAGATACATACAGGTGATTTTTTTCAGAAGTATTTTTCTCTTTGCTATTTCTATCTGCTTTTAGATACTTTTAAAAATAATTTCATTGTGGGTTTGATTAAATATACAGGTTTTGAGAAACTGATACCTAGATTATCTGGTGATTAGAACATTACAGATTCATTCAGCTTGGATCACATGCTTGAGTTTGGGTAGATGAACCCAGCTTTCTTACATTATCTTAACACTAAAATCCAAGAAACATTTTCTTGGCCCCAGGTCTGAATTCCACTCAAGGGTAGCAAGCCTCCCTACACAATAGACACTGCAAGTAGAAATCCTAATTGGGTAACTGCAGAAAAGTAGTGAGCCCATAAGTATTAAGAACCAAGATCTTCCAATAGTGCATAAAGTAAAAACTAAATACTGCCAATGTTATTATCTGGGAAAGACCTTTTTAGTTTACTAACAGTTTACAAAGCAGATTATCTACACTGGAACCAAAGTTTGCTCTGATGAGACTGATAAAATGGATACAAAAGCTTGACAAAAACTAAACACTGAATGCACTGAGGAAAATAATGCAAAGGAGAATTTACCTGAGAAATATGAGTTTAAGAGGTACAGACTTGAAAAACCTGGTAACCACACGTTTCCTTTTGGTTCTCCTTGCATGTTGCTGACTGAGCACCTCTGCCCTAATTTTTCTAGTAATAGTCTAGAGGAGCTGTAGAGAATCTTCCGAGATAGAAACACAGCCTGTATGTGGAGAACCAGTTGACAAAATGTGTGTTCGTAGTGCAGGGAGCTTTTTAGAAACATGCTACATGATTCATTCTCCCACATAAAGAGATTTGAACAACTGAAGTTGGGACTGTAACAGCTCGATGTCTTTCTCCCCCATCCATCTGCTCAAAGCCTCTCTGATTGCATGTTTGTGCAATTTCATGCTGTTGGGGTCTGATTTCACTTCCTAAAAATACTTCAACTGAAAGCTTGTTGTTAGTATCTGTGCATATTTTTTCTCACTTGTTCTAAAGCACTGTTTGTGTCCTGCCTTCTTAGACCCTATGAAAATGCTGAGTGTGAAACATCTTTAGTCCCTGATCTGCTTGCTTAATTTCCCAGTGCACAGTGAATTTGGATAACCATGATAGGGGGAGAGAGGGTGTCTCCTCCTTTTTGTCTCCTTATTCAACCTCTAGAAATACAGGCATCACTTAAAATCCTCTGTTATAACTTTGCTTCCTCCTCAAAGTTTGGGTTTCTTCCTCCTCTCTGGAATGTATTTAATACTTTGGAAAAAATCTGAATAGTCATGGCTTGAGAATTAGAATTTTAAATCAAGTAGACTTGTGATGTTAGAGCATTTCCGTTACCCTTTGCAGGTTTCAAGGCAGCTTATTCAACCTTACAGTCTCACCAGGAAGCTAATGGGAAAGCCTTACAGCAATCTTCACAGGAAAGTTTCCAAATGTCAAGTGTCACCTTTCCAGCTGTTAGATGAATGGGTTGCCCAAGGGCATTTATTTGGATGTGCAGCCCTTGTAAAATCTGGTCGCTGTGGTGCAGAATGCTGTAATTTGGCAATTTATTTCACCAGTGTTTGGAACTGGTAGAAATTTTAGTGACTGGAGGGGAGTTTGTTTTTTAAAGAAATTGTTTAGAGAAGGATAAGAGAAGGATTGTATTACCCTGATGTTTGTTGGGGTAGGTACATGCCACATGTGTGTGCTTTTATGTGCACATGTGTGCACACATTCAGTTCTCAGCTCTGTATTCTGGAAACTTATGAAAGGAAATAAAAAAATAGCCTTACATGCTACCTTATTTTCTCTCTATTGTGAGCTTCTAAGGTAGGCAACTGTCCTGTGATCTTAGTGTCTGAATTGAGTACACATTAAATTTTAAATAAATGCATTGATACCATCTATATCTCAGTTACAGGAATAGGTAGCCATTTCCAAAATCACCAACTGTCTCAGCACCAGGATCTATAAATAATGCAGTCTTCATCAAAATAAAACTATTCCATAGGATTTCTCAGCCAATCCAAGACCATGACAAAGACTGAAACTCAAAACCACGATCCTGACTACTTGCAGAAAGCACTGTTTGAACAGCACGCTGCTTGTATCCCAACCTACTCCAGGCAAAAGGCTAAGTGAACAGATGGGCCTGATATGTGCCCTGAAACTCCAGTCATTGCAAGCTCTGGCACGTGGTCAAGTGAAGCGTGAGATCCAGACTCAAGGAGTCTCCAGCAGAAATGCCTTATGTTCAAAACTGGGAGTTATTTACAGAAGCTTCTTGGCTGCTCTTATGCTGGAAACTTTCCATTATTAGTTGCCTAAATATCTCCTGCCTCTTAACATATTCCTCCCACTATATGAGGCATAGGTTCATCTCAGAAATTGTTGTCTGCAGCTGTGTCAGGTTAGTTTCTACAAACATGACCGGTCAATGCCTAACCAAGGATAGTTGTAGTAGAACCTGTTAGCAAATGTATACAGTCTTCCTAGAACCATTTTTTGCAATTCATTAGAGATCAAAACAGAATCAACTCAATTCATTTAACTGTCTACTACTAACAACATTTTTGCATGGTTCAACCTTCTTTTGTTATTCCATGAATTAGTCTTAGTGATTTATTTGGTTTAGGAATTGTAATGGTCTTCACTTTTGTCTGACATTGACTTTATGATCTTGTGCAGAAGCAATATAGGCTGCTGTTCTCTTCTATGCCTCAGTTACCATTCATTTCTTTTTGATCAGTGAATGGGATTTAATAGTATATCGGTTGTATTCAGGGTAATTCACGATTATTGCAGGACTAATTTCTAATTTTCTGTGCCTGCCTTGAGAGCGAAGACAGCTTCCAGTATCTTCTTCCTGGATGACTGTGCCAACCTTAATGCTTCACTCCTGCTAAGTGTATGAATACTCATACACTTACCTGTGGAGTGTTTTCCCATATATGGCAGTAAAGCTGCCATCTTCTCACTAAAATCCCCCTTTAAAAGTGACTTTTCTGTTCTAGTTCACAATAAGTTTTCTTTTATTTAAACTTATTTTTTTCTTTACTGTAATCTCTCCAGTGTGGACAGGTTTTTTATACTTTTCCTAGACTGAAATGTGTGATACACTTAAAGAATAGAGATCTGAATCCCAATTGATATAATTTGCACTTAATACTATTCAGTATTAATTTTGAGCACATCACTGTGTTATTTTGAAACACTATTGTATATTTGCTGTTTTTAATTTAGCTATGCTGTCAGAAAATATATCGACTTTGTATCTGAGGAGTGTTCTTGCTGATTCTTTATGAAGACTGACCATTCAGGTTGAGCATGCATGAATGTACAGTATTTCATAATCAATACCAGAGTTAGGTAGTTCCCAGGAAGCTTGTATTTGAAGCTGTTAGTTATGTTGTCTGTTTCTTTTCAGGACAACCACAGGACAAAAATGAACATCCCTTTGTTTAGCTAGAACAACATATGAAACACTAGCATGCAGACAAATAACGAAGTACCCTTTGCAAAAAAAAAATGGATTAAAGGGAAGTGCAGGAAACCTAGTATTTTAGTTGCTTGCCTTTGAGTAAGCACTATGTCTGTTACAGAAACAGAAAGGCAGGAATGAGTTTAGAAAATCTTTGTCAAACAGGACAGAGCCCAGAGCAACCTGGTCTAGTTGACCCTGCTTTGAGCAAGGGTGTTGGACTAGATGGTCCTCAGGCATCCCTTCCTACCACAACCATTCAGAGACTGTACAAAATAACATAGACATATTACCACAAAGTTAAATAATTGGAGAGAGGCTAGAAGAAGAAAGGGAGAAAAGACATGTTTTAAGATCAGACTTAAAAACGGAGAAAGCAGGAGTGAGATGAAAGTATTCAGGAAAACTCTTCCAGGCAGTAGGATTTGAGGCAAAGACTCTCTGTGAAAAATAACAGTAATGCAACTACTTGCTTTCACAGTCTGTCTTTGTTAAAGTATGGGAAATGGAGTTAGACCATAGCATTCTGGTTAAAAATTTTCTCCATCTGAAGGAAATTTATGTCAAAAATTGTATCGGATCTGAAGCTGAGTTCCTGTCTCTCAGCCCTGCACTGCAGAACACATGCATTTGCCTCTAGGCGAATCCTGGGTAGGGTAAGGTAGGGCTACTGTTTGCAACATGCTGTGGATTTTTCACCACCCTGTTCCAGTGTCCAAGAAATTGCCATGATTGGAACAAGTACCTGCAATATTGTTAGCTCAGCTGGTTGGCATCAAATTAGAGGAAGAATGGGCCACACTTTTTGTCCTCTACTTCTAAAAATCAAGGGAAGAGTTATTATAAATAAACCCTTGCCTGCAGGCTTTCTTTTCCTATTTGTTTGTGCAATGTCAGAGAAATCCTTCATTATAGAGATGATTTTACTTTCAGGAAGCTATATAACATTTTAGCTAGCTGAAAGTTTTGCTTTGTAGAAAACAATGCATCAAGACTTAGTAAATTTATTTCTTTTATAAGCGTTGTGCTGAAAGGAAAAAGCAGCAAAAAATAAATAGAGCAAAAATGAAGTGATAGGGAGGAGGGATATAAATCTGAAAAGATGTATTGCCACTGGCTACTGAACCTTCAGCTGTGTCCTGCCTCTGTGCATTTTTAAATACTTGGTTTATTCCATTGAAACGTCTTGTAATCCTCCCCCTGCCACCTCCACCTGCGTCACTTCATCATTAACAAACCATTAGGTACATTTTGTGGGACCTGAGTGCGTTTGGGTGGAATTGTTTGTGGTTTTGCTCTTTTGAAGGAAAGTAAAGCAGGAAAAATGGACCTCTACATATAGTTTGGGAAGTGGCTTATGACTAGTTTGAATGATGGAATGCAGGAGGCAAGGCCTATTTTCGCATAGGTGTTGGTGAGAACAATTTTTAGAGATGTAATTTTCCTGCTTAGGAAAAGAAACAGTACAATGGAACTTAAGCTGCATATTCAGCACTGTCTTCCTATTTGTCTGTAGCAATCAATATTTACAGTTGTACAAGCTATGAATAGTTTATAAGCAATCCACAGGCTGAAATGTATTCACAGAGAACATTTGAACAATTATGGATAGCAAATGAATTCACACTGGAAAATTAGGTTTATTGCTCACATGTGTGCATAGAGTGGAGCTGACCAAACACTTTTCCTTGTCTTTCTTTACTGTCATTCTTACAGAATCAGAATCAAAGAATTTTTTTAAGAGTTTAGTGTATCAATGTTTATTTCAGCAGATTTCCCCATACATTAAACTATGTAGGAGACAAAAAACGTGCTAGCCTTTTAAAAATGCTTTAATTTCAGCTGTGTGATCCAGGAAGTTCTGTTTTGTCATTGCAAACAACATTTTGCACTTGGAATATTAGTTAAGAAAACAAAAAAGAAGTTAAAAATATGAAATCAAACCCAAAGTAATAAAAAAATACTTTTTGATTCTTTGTTTTTTCTGCTTTTATTTGCCATTTAACAAAAGTTTTTGAGACGTAGAATGCCAGGCTTTTTGATTTTCTAAGAACTCAGATTCTCCTGGTGTAAAAAAATAACCCTGTGGAGTGTGACATGGAGGAAGCAGTGAGCACTTAGGAGGGAAGCAATGGGGGATGTTTGGCTTTTTATGAAGTGTAACTGCATTGGCTGCTAGCTGAGAGAGATCATGACACTGAACCGAGTTTTGTCCCAAGTGTTAGGGATCTTTAAAAATTAACATTTCTCAAAATGTCCACCATTAGGGACCCATTCAGGTTTACATCATTCAGGCTGGGACAATTCCACTACTTTCAGAACTTTTAAGCCATCGGAAAATTTGGCCCCTGAATGTACCCTCTCTGTCTGAGGAATCAGAATACTGAGATGAGAATGCAGGCAATCCCAAAACCAAACAGGCACGTTAAGTCTCAGGGTTTTGACCAGTCTAGGAAGCAAAAGGCACTAAACCAAACAAAAAACTCCTCATTTTATCAGTGCTTATTAATTTTCACAGGTAAAAATGGGTTAAGTAAGTTTCTTAAAAAAAAAAACAAACAACAAAATCCCCAAAGGTAGCAATTTGTAAGTGGCTGAGGTTTTCCTCTGTTACAGAAGAATCTTCCCCATACCTCGAGTAGTCCTGCTGAAGAAATCTTCCTTTTAAGGATAGAAGAAACTACTGTGATCTTAGCTGTGACTTATTAGGAACACAGATGGTGTAGGGCTTCTCTGTGTTGGAAATTCCTGCTTTATTTCTTTGTGATTTTATTGAGTCAACCATCTGAGTGAGCAAAGATTTAAATTCTACCCACCACATTGTGATTAGGATGCTGTTCAGTATCCATACATGGAGAAAGATTTTCTCTCTGCAATTTTTATGGTATTAAATGCAACATATACATTGAAAGCTTTTCACTGACTCTTCAGGCAAAAGACTGTCTTTAAAATGAAAACAAAAGTGACTGTGGTGGCACGGCCATAATGTGTATGATGTTCTTTGATCCCAAATTAGAGTCTAACTTTTGTCAATCTTGAAGTATTCATACTAATACAATTAAGTATAAACCCAGTGATAGTTTTGCATATATTGACAGGTATGCTAATGTGTAGGCTATAGAAAATCTTTAAAACTGGGGGGAAAAGGTGCAGAGATTCAAAATACATTGAGTTAGGTCTGAGTGATCCTCCACATGATGCCTTCCCTCATTTTTCACAATTCCCTACACTTTAGATTGGCACCTGGGAAGAAAACTAAAAAGAATCGGTTGGCATACCCTGGTTTTTTTTTCAATCTCACTGCTGCTGGCTGCTGTAGGGGACAGAGCTGGCTGTTCAGAAGGGTTGAACAAACCTTTCTACTGAACCAGGCTATCAGTACAGGATATAAAATAAGTGTTTCTTTAAATGTAAAATAACTGTTTCTTTATTATTATTATTATTATTATTATTATTATTATTATTATTATTATTATTATTACTGTTATTCAGTTGTTTCCAGCATAGCATAGTATTTCAGCATGAATACTATTTGGGCAGAAGATGTTGCATATGCAGATGTTTGCATGTTTTACTGATTTGCAGGTCTGAACGCATAATAAAATACCTAAACTTTGGGTTATTATATATTAATTATTCTCTTATCAGTGTTAATAATAAATTATATAAAAATTAATCAGCAAAAAATTCTGTGATTTTTGTTTGGGTTTTTTTTACAGTCCTTATACGGTGTTGCAGTTTCCACGGTTCCAGAACTACCACTCTTCTATACTCCTATAGATTTAGTAGATATCAGTGTAGAAATGGCTGGACTGAAGTTTCCAAATCCTTTTGGCCTCGCCAGTGCAACTCCTGCTACAAGTTCTTCAATGATTCGAAGAGCATTTGAAGCTGGGTGGGGCTTTGCTGTCACTAAAACATTCTCTTTGGATAAGGTAAGAAAATATTTTAAGGTGTATTTCGTGTGCAACCATTTCTTTGTTTATTTGAAAAATCTGAGTCTTTTGGGAATGACACTGTTGAATCCAGCTAGCATAAAGACAGCAGGAACAGGTATGATACATTGCGTAGTTTGACTAGTCTGGGAGGTTCACCAGTACAGTGACACAATTTCTGGTTTTGTTTGTTGTTACATCCTTCCCCTTTATTCCCCCACCTTTTAATATTAGCCACCTATTAAGCGTAAGAATCTTTTTTTTTAAAATACTGCAGTGAAAGTGTTTTCTGTAAACGATCAGAATGCAAAGGGAATGAGTAACAGCTTTGTCACACAACTCATGAAAGACGGATTCTGTGCCAGGAGCTGCCAAGATAAGCCATTGAAATTGAGTTGCAGTTGCAGTATGATAATGAGGCTGCAAGGTGGAGCTGGGTGGGTAATGGAAGAGAAAGACGGAGGCAACATAAAAGAAGCCTATGGAGACGAGCAGTTGTGCTGAAGGTTTGTAGCACAGTGACATTGGCCTTCAGTAATGTAATGGAAGATGAAGGAATTAGAATTAAATCTTGAAGGCTATGGCTCAGTGTGGCACCTTAAATAAAACATTTTGTGTAGATTTAAACATGTAATTGATTGTTTGGCCTGAGAATTGCATTCAAGATGGGTTTCTTGTTGCTATATTCGAAATGGCAAAATGAGAGTGAGCAAAAAGTTTAGACAGTGAAAGAAAATAACAGCTTTGATAAACAGACCACAGAGAAAAGAAACAGATTTTGGGCTGGGATGTAGACATAGTTTAACTTGTAGAGAAAAGAAGAAGAGCAAAGGTACATCCTTAGATATAGGCCTGAGTAACTGTGAATAATTGCAACATATTGTCATCCAGTGACAGACAGTAGTGTGGACTGAAGAAAGCTCTTGAGATTAATTTAGAAACAAGGGTCTTTTATTATTGGTTCAGAGATGGGATGTACAAGCGTAGTGCTGGATGGAGACCTTAGCAGAAGAGAAAAGCTAGATTTGCTCCTCTGCCACCTGTACATGGGTAAGTACCACAGGTGAATTAACTATAGCAAGTGACCCTCTAATATGAGGAAGGTCTAAGGACAAAGTGCTGTGTTGCCACAGTGTACTGTAAAATATGTCAGGCTGGCTTCTGCTGTCACTTACACCTGAAGTAGCCTTAAGGAAGTAGGTGTCCCTCTACATTGCAGTTGAGATTCCAATCTACTTCACGAGGCTTCTTATTAAAATACTTTTTAGGACATAAATGCCATTCAAATATGTTTACAACTGACTTGCATGTATAACATACTGTCAGCTGTAATTATTCAGTGCCTGGGCTACAGGCAACCCGTAGCAAGTACTGATATTTATTTATTTATCAGTATTATTGCTGGTATGCTTGCAGTCCTGCCAGACTGCATGTTGATTACTGTGCATCTCAAGAGCTAAACAGACGCAGGCTGAGTTCCAGCTTGGGTGGGAGTTCAGGAGAAAAGATGTGCTTGTTGTAGGAAGTGATACTGGTGCTCCACTAAGCAGCAGACTCTGAGTCATTTCTCAAATGGTGACTGCAAAGTGTTCCACTGTATGCCATGTTCTGGAGGTGTGACTCAGATGGAGATATTTTAAGGGTTTTTTTAGTATTTGTTGCAATAAGATGCAAAATATTGCTGATATCACTTGTTTTTTAATTTAATAAGTTCAGAAAAGTTGGTTGAATTCTAGTTCAGTGATTGTTATTTCTAGCTAAACTACCTTCTGATGTTCAGTAGGAGGCAGTACTTTCTCTGTGCCTCAACTCTTGAATCATGTGTTGCTGTGTGTAGTAGGACTGTGTCCCATCCAAGTACTACTTAGTTTTTCCACTGTTGTATTTTTCCTAGTAGTGTACTTCCCATGGGTGTTAAGCCTTAGTATTTTTGACATGATTTGAGATGCTTGGCTGAGAGGTGCTGCAGAAAGAAAATTGCTTTTATTTATCGTAGTTATATGGCAATTAATGCTATAAAAATAATCATTTCAAATGGGAAGAAAAGCTCAATGAAGTACAGCACTTCTTATGTGAACAGAGTATTACAGAAAGACTGCTCTTGTTGACTTAACACTAGAACAAGTTGTTGGTAGAGAGTTTGAAATATTATAGATTAGCATTATGTCCTTTTTTTTTTTTTTAATCTTAGCTTCTGATTATGTAGACATAGATCTTGTGCAACGTTCAGCAGGGAGCAGAATGGTCTCTTGGGCTGTGGTACCAATGAAAGTAGGACCAGGAGCAAAGATTTCCTGGTCTAAGCCTCCAGAATCAGTGGGAAGAGGAGGAGCTGCTCCCCAGACAGTACATTCCCAAGAGTGGAAGAGCTTCTGGGAGGAAGAGAGCTTGCTAGACACAGTTTTTGGCAGCTGAAGCTCTTCCACTTCAGCCTTGGTTGTATGTGATATAAGCAGGATTCTGTGTTCATTCTTGTTGTCTAATTATTTTATCTGTCCCAGTAACACTTAACTTGTGGGCTTCCTTCTTGTTTGCAATAGTTAAATGCAAAGTGCCTGTGTGGCAATGGGGAGCTTAGCAGCAGGAGAAATTCTCCATTTTCCAGAGCCAATGACTGAATTGGCCACTGTGTTCGGACACTGATAGTGGAAATGAGTGACTTCCCTTTGGCACTTCAGCAAAAGTGACTGATGCAGGCTAAATTTGAGTGACATACAGCCTGTGAAAAGCATATACAGTCCAACCACAAATTTCCATACATTAACTACAGTGGAATGGAATAAGGTCAGAGAGAAAAACATGATAAATCTTGGAAGAAGGAGATCCAAGGACAGAAATAAGACGGACTCAGGCTGAAGAACTGAGTGATTCTCATAAGACAGAATTTATTTCATATGAACTACTTCTCCTTTTCCCTCTTTCACCATCTAACACAGAAAGCTCTTCTAAAATACTAAGCTAGAGATCCCCTCCACCTATGAGAGGTCTTACTGCCTTGTTTAGAGGAACTGTTGGGTAGCAGTGCTGCAGTTCTAGCCTCTGGACCATAATTTACTCCCCTAGTCTCTCCAATCCTCATCTGTCATGGCTTCACCTTGAAAGCTTCACGTGCTGCCCCAGAGGGAGTTAGCACAGAGCTCACTGTGTCACGCCATGCTCGTTCCCTTTTAAACACTTACATACTTTGCTACATAATTGTCTTCATGACAACCTGTGTAGCATTTTCTGTTTGTAGGGTGAGGTTTTCAACTGTGAGTGATTCAGCAAAAGTTTGTTGTTGCATACTACGGTACTATTGTTGAAACATTAAAGAAAAGCTAACATTAGAAATAGCTTCAGAAATTTCTTCAGAGTATTTATACCTCAAAGTATACTGCACTCTTAAATATTTTAGAATGTACTGGATATTATAGCATTATGCAAATAATAGTTACAGGGTACCGTACCTGTATGTGTCTGTAGGTATCTGATGGAGATAGTGACTTGTAGAATTTTATTTACTAAATTAAACATCTTTGCTCAGCTGCTTTAGTATCAAGTAGATTTGAATTCTTCCAGAAATGCTGAATAATGGAATAAATGAGAATAACTGCTTTTAAAATAGACTATCAGTAGGAAAGACAAATGGTAGCAGAATAAAAGTGTCCCTTCACACACCTTTTTCTATATTCATGTCTTCCCTTTTTAACTGCAGATCAATAGCTCTTTGCTCTGTTGGTTCAAATAGTATTTCTGTCTTATTCAGATAACTCTGTCCAGCATATTATTTGTAAATTGTGTTTGCAAGCTATTGAAGGGAAATGGGGAAGCTGCATATCATAGGGAAATGGGAAAGGTGCACATCATAAGAGTCCACAAAAACTGAATAGCAATTATTACTTCTTTTAGAGAAAACTACATGTAGAATGAGAGATACTGCTTTAATTAAACAAATAACTGTGAGTGGGAGGTTTTTAGTAGAAGTTCTATACTAAGCTGATTTATTTACTTAGAATGTATTAGTGAGTACTGTTTAGTACACAAAATTTGCATTAAAACCTGTAATCAGAAAGTTTGTATAAACATAGTATCAAAAGAAGTCAGAGGTTATATGAAGTGTGCACATCCCTGTGCACACCATATTCAATACCTCAGTGAGGAGTTTATAGTAGAAATTAGGGGTTTATTGCTGAATTCAGGCTTTGTTGTTCTTTCACTGCATAGTATGGGCTGTTTAGAAAGAGGAAAAAACAACTGGATTAGCAGAAATGTTTGCTTTGATTTTTAGATGCTTCCTTCACTTCTAAAATTTAATTCTGATTAATCAGATACATCTGTCTTTATTTTGTTGTGACACGCATTGATTTGTGATGCTGTCGCTTTCAATAATGCGGAAACAGTTGCCTTTATTATGAGAACCAGCAGAAATCAACATGCAGACTAACTTCATTTTTAGTCTTTAATTTTTTTCATTATATATGGAGCAAGTTGCGTGGCTGATATTAAAAACAAAGCTACAATTAAAGCTAGATTAAATTTGAACTAAACCATAGCGGAGAAAACTTTCTAGCCATAATATATGTTTGTGCATTTGCAGATGTAGGTTTTACAATATATTTTCAGACCATTTCTAAATAAGAATCATTGCTGGTATGAGAATTAAATAATTTGTCCAGTATATATCACATTTCTATGTGCTGTTATTACAATATACATATTCAGACTCCAGCTAGTTCTCTCTCTGTACATTTGCACTGTGTGCACCTCACTTTATAACTGAAGGTGGTAAAAAAATCATGGTACAATGATGCATTGTTTTCCATAACATTAGTATTTCACATAAGTGAATCTGTATTACAAAATGTATATTTTTGTATGATATTACAGCAAAGTAATTTAGATTAAACTAGTTATAATTTATGGTGCCAAGCCAAAAAGCTATTTAAGATGCATTAAAATGCAGAACCATGACATTTGAAATTCTGATGTTCTTAATATGACAAAGGTTATTCTATGGAGTT